TCATGGCACTCTCTTTTGAAGGGGGTTGATCCAACCCTCTAGTTAGGTCACCAGTTAGTTGCCCCTCTCCCTATTGTAAAGGGCTTCCTGCGGGTGTCCAGTCCCAACTTGGGGGTTCCAAAAATCCTCACCTTCTCCTTCCCGCCCGCTCCTAGGGAGAGTCCAGCAGTGACTCTGTTCATGCCCTTCTGAATGGGGGGGTTGGTAGAGGGGATCCCAGGTCGTCCCACTCAACTGGGCTCTGGCCCAGGGCCCTGTAAGAGGTACCAGTGTCTGGCACCCAAACCCCACCTGAAGGGTTGCCTTAAGGAGTCCTCTAGGGCACTTCCTCCCACCCACACTCTTGTACCTCCCTGGTCTGGCACCCTTGGGACCTGACCAGTCCCAAACCAGGGAGCTTGCTGGACAAGAGGAAGTCAGTGTTGGCCCTTCTGCTACTGGCTGCGGGGCCCGCTCTGGTGGCAGCAGAGACCCCGGCTTTGACCGAGCGGCGACTGGGTGTGTACTCGGTGAAAGAGGCTGTGGAGCCCTGTGGCTGGCGTCCCCACCCCCACGTCCTTGGGGCTGCGCTCCTGGCCTCTGGCTGCAGGCCTCTTCCCCCTCCCCCCAACATCTGCAGTCCATGTTCCTACCATTAAGAGCATGCCATCTCTTAATACGTTTAAAAATCAGACGCACAGCAGGGGGAACCCGGTGCTAGCCGGGACAGCTGATTCCTGGCTTGAGCTGGGTCCCCTCCGCTGTGCTTTAGCCTTTTTAAATGTGTTAAGAGCCGACTGCCTCTTACTACATTTCAAAGGCAGAGTCGCAGCGGGATTAGCTCCCGGGCCAAAAGCTAACCCTGCTGCGGCTCCCCTGCTTATCGACTAGTTGATGAAACTAAACTTAACATCCCTAATCCAACAGTCACGGAAGACCAGCTGATAACTTTTTTTTCCGTTTCAGCCCTCGCTTGGGCTTTCCGTGGGCTGCGAGGGGTGTTGGTTGTTTTGCCTGTGACCCAGTTCCCCTGCACTGCTGGTTACGCTAACTGGTGTGGTCACTTACGTTCCAAAGCATCCGTGGTCTGTGGCAGCCTGGAGTAACACACGGAATGGGGCAGGGTTCCCGAGGGCTGTTAAGAAGCTGCAGTTGCTGGCACTCATGTGGCTTCATGTGAAAGGGGAAGATGCTGCTTCTGGGGGCATACAGAAGGACAAATTCAGAAGAGCAGCCAGAGAGGGATTGACACTGAGCATGACACCTGCATGACCTACAAATGCAGAGGCTCATCCGTCTGGGTGCAAGGATCTAACATGTTAGGGAGGCCCCTAGAAACCTGGATCCCTAGTCAGTCGGGCTAATCCTAGTGAGCCAGATGCATCCCTGTTCCCACTCTAGTAGGATTACCTCGGGTGACTTCAGCACAGCGCTTGTTACCCTTTGCACCACTGGAATGTGCAAACAGGAAAGTGATAGAGGAAACTGCTGTGGCCAGTGGAGTGAAGTGAACATCCTCTCTTGCCCTTTGGCTGACCTAAACTGCCTGGATGAATTTGCCAACAATTTGTGCACATAATCCTCAATGAGTCTTGGGCCTTCTTTTTAAAAGCCTTCTGTGCCTCTCACTTCTGGTTGTGTGTCGGCTGCTGGCTTCAGCAGCGAAAGATTTAGGGCAGGGCGAGCGGGGCGGCTGCCCCGGGCCCTGCGCGTCCCGAGGCCCCGTGCATGCGCCTTGGCACCACGGCGCATGCGCTGTGTCAAAGGGGAGGCCCGCGAAATTTTGCTGCCTGGGGCCCCGCGGCGCTGCCCTGGGCCCCGCGGCACTCTCATCCGCCCCTGGGCTTCAGGGTCCCTTTTTGGCTCCCTCCACAGGGGAAATCTGATAAATTCAGGGAAAAGGAGCTTTCAGAGTTTGAGGATTTACAGAGCCCGGTTTTTCTGGCTCTAAGCATCCTGTGGGATCCGGATTGTAAAGATCACAGCTCTCAGGCAGATCACTCCTCGTAGACTTTGGCTCTCATGTTATTAACTCACAATTCTCTATATTGCTCCGTCAATGTAGGTGCATCGGCTCTTAGGTTACCTGATACAGTCATAGCCAGTAATGGTGCCTTTGTACGGCTGCTAAACTATTCTCCATATCCTGAAAACTGATTCTACTGGAGGTCCAAAAGTTCCCTTGCTGGCTGTCCCTGTAGTAACAGGCTCTCCTCTTTCAAGTGTAGATAAAGTCTTAGTGGAGTTTCAGTTGCACATCGGAAGTGGCCTTCTGAAGTAAGGATGTTAAAAGGTGGGTAATCCACTAATCATGTAGTCAATAAAATTTGTATCGACTATGCGATTAGTCAATGAGGGAAGGCTTTGTCAGTCCCAGCTCATGCCGGGTCCAGAAGCCACCCCTGCAGCAGCTCTGCAGTTTAAATGTAGTAGGAGGTGGGTGTGCAGGTGGCCCAGCTCCTATTACATTTAAACTGCAGAGGCGCAGTTGGGGTAGGTTCTGGATCTGGTGTGAGCTGGGACTGAGCTGGATTGCTCAGTCCTGGCTCGTGCTGGGTCCAGCAGCCCTTATCCGGGGCTGGCCACAGATAGGGGCTAAGCTGGAACTGTTCAGAGCAAGCCTGGGCCCACTGTGGACAGAGGCTGCTTCATGGCAGCCTCCCCTGCCCCTCACCAGCACTGGCTCCTGCTTCTTCCCCCTGTCTTCTAAGTAGCGAATAAAGATCCCTCCTCTGACATGGTATGTTAGTAGACAGGCTCCCTGGTTTTCTTCTCAACTCTATTGGTGGTGCTGAAAATTGGAGGTGAGGAAGCCGGGCTGCTGCTGCGTCCACGCGCCATCGCATTTTCATTGTAAACCTGTTTTTTCTTGATAGTGCCGACGAACAGCTGGACGCAGAAGGGGCAGAAGAACCTGACGCGGAGGTAGGTTTGTGGGCGAAATGACCACCCCTCTCGTGACTGCATGTGAGAGCAGACAAAGGCTGCATTAAAAGCTAAATAGCAGTGCTGGGGTCTTCCGGATATGACGACAGGTTGAACCTCTCTAGTCCAGAACCCATTGGGACCTGGCAGGAGCCGAACCACGGGAGGTCAATACTGTAGCGAGTGGGTCTCTCTTTTTATCTTTATTTTGCCGAGGCTAATAAATGGAATAGTGCTGCTTTATAATGTATGACTGTACCTATACGCCCTATATAAGCCTACACCTAGCAAATGCTTAACTGCTCTCTCCGTAACAAAATGTTAGTATTACTACATAATTTTACTGTATTGGCACAAGGAAAAAAGTAGATACAGCATTAAAAAACATGCTTCCAGTAAGCAGCATTACCTACGCTTGTATGGCTTACTGGGCTATTAGAAGATGTGTAGGGGTAAATTGGCGCTGAACAACAGCACAGAACACTAAGCGCTTGGGTTGGTTTCTGTAAACAAAGTTTAGGGGAAACTTGACCAGGACAAGCAGACATCCAGCTAAAATCATGCCAGATTATGGAGGCTGCTGGAACAGAGAGTGCCGGACTAAAGAGGTTCAACCTGTACTGAAATTAGTATTGCTTTGCTGTGTAATGAAAACCCTTGGGTATTTTTACTTAGCTGCATCTAACCTGCCTGCCTGTTAGCTATACTCTTTCCAGTTGGCCTAAGGAGCTCTTTTGCTGTTGGCTTACTACTCGATACATTAGCATGACTGTTTGGTGCCACTATCAGGATTATAATTTTTCATTTAGAAAAACCCTTTGATTGTAGTGATGGTTAGAGGTCCGTTTGGTTTTTAACATTTTGTGTTTTTTTAAAAAAAAAGCCACCTAAATCTACATGTATCTATCTGGCTAAGTACCTGAGCTTCCTATAAAAACTCAAATTAGTTAAAGTCCAGCAAAGCACATGCTTAACTTTAAGCAAATGATTAATCCCATAGTCTTCACTGGAGCTATGTCTTCACTTCCTGGAAGATTGACTCTTCAGCGGTCAATTTTTCGGAGTTTGATTTAGCAGACCTGCTAAATGGAATGCTGAGCACCTCCTGTCAAAGCCGGTACTCCTAGAATTAAGGATGTTAAATTGCAGTTATCTGGCTAATCGTGTTGTCAATACAATTTGTATCAACGACACGATTAATCGAAAAGGGCCGCTCTGCAGAGCCACAGCAGGGGTAGCTCCAGGAGCCGACTCGAGCTGGGACTGAGCAGTTCTGGGAGCCACCCACACTGCAGCTCTGCATTTTAGATGTAGTAGGAGCCACCATTTTAGATGTAGTAGCACTGCAGTTATCTGGCTAATCGTGTTGTCAATACAATTTGTATCAACGACACGATTAATCGAAAAGGGCCGCTCTGCAGAGCCACAGCAGGGGTAGCTCCAGGAGCCGACTCGAGCTGGGACTGAGCAGTTCTGGGAGCCACCCACACTGCAGCTCTGCATTTTAGATGTAGTAGGAGCCACCATTTTAGATGTAGTAGCACTGGTGCAAGCCAGGACTGGTCAGTGCTGGCTCGCTCTGAGGTCAGCAGGCCC